AAACGATCTAGATACTGGGATCAGCAGTGACATAAGCAAGTTTGCGGATGACACCAAAATAGGGCGGCAGATTAATTCAGGGCAGGATGCAAATGCATTACAGGAGGATCTAAATAAACTGCAGGGGTGGTCTGAAAAATGGCAAATGGAATTCAACATTAGCAAGTGCAGCGTACTTAATATTGAAAGAACAAATACTGTCAATGTATACAGCCTTAACAACATCAACCTAGAGAAGTCGACTTGTGAAAGAGACCTAGGGGTACTTGTAAGCCCGGACCTACGGCCTAGAAAACAGTGTGTTAATGTTCGAAATAAGGCAAACAGAGTATTGGGTTTTATATCTAGAAGTGTAAGTAACAAGAGTGCAGAGGTCTTATTGCAACTATATCTTGCGCTAGTCAGGCCGCTCCTCGATTATGTGGTTCAGTTCTGGTGCCCTTATTATAGAATGGATATCATTTCACTAGAGTCGGTGCAGCGAAGAATGACAAAAATGATTCCGGGACTTAGAAACCTTCCATATCAGGATAGGTTAAAGAAACTTAACCTGCATTCCCTAGAAAGACGAAGAGTGCGGGGAGATATGATAGAAGTATTTGAGTGGGTGAAAGGAATCAATAAAGGGGATATAGATAAAGTTCTTATAATATCCGAGCAGGATAGGACTCGTAGCAACGGATTTAATTTGGATAAAGGTTTAGGAGGGAGATAGGAAGAAACTGGTTCACAAATAGGGTGGTGGACGAGTGGAACAAGCTTAGCAACTTTGTAGTAAGTGCTGGAACGCTGGAAAGTTTCAAAGGGAGACTGGATAGATTCATGGATGATAGAGAGTGGTAGTGACTCTCGACAGGAGCTGCCATGCACAGACCAATCGTCCTATTGCAGACTCTCTTATGTTATCACCTCTCACATCCCCGAAATATACAGATAAGTTTTGTCACGCCGCTTGGTTTGTTTACATTCGATCAGCTGATGTACCAGAGTGTGTACTGCATCCAGGAACGAGATAATTATAACAGCTTCCGGCGCAGTTGCAGTTTTCCTATCTCCGCAAAATCGATTACACACACTTCCTCACAGCACCAAAAGATTTCATTTTCCATCACTGGGAATGAAGGAATGTAAAATCTTCATGCAGTGTAAGTATCATTTAGATCACCATGTTCGTGTGGGAATTTTTAAAGTAACTAATTTAAGGTGTTCTCACTACTGTAGCTTGAGGGAAAACTTAAAAGCGTAGTGATGTTTGGAATTCTGGGACTTTGTTTGAGGAAGCTGTGAGCACGACCATCTTTGCATGACGCTTTTCCTGGTGCCATGTTTTGCCAGTGTGTGGATATCACTCATTTTTGCTTCTCGTGTGTGGCGTTGTGGGAGGAATTACATTTTTATATGGCTGTCAGTGGGAATCATTGAAGAATCTATCGTTTTTCTCACGCACATCTTTATTGCGTGACGCTGTGGTTCGCCATCTTAGATACGAGTATAAATATTTTTTTATATTGATATTTGTTTTCCTACCTGTAGTGGATAGCTTTTATAAGGAGTTGTCATATTTCTAGCTTTTCTCAAAATATTTATAGATCGGAGCTTGCTTTTGACGATTATATTTGAACGTATCAGATATTTTCCTCGAGGATTATTTTCTTGTTTGATAATTTTGTTTTTCCGAATGCTTGGTGGTGAGTAATTGTCGCTGACGTCATAATAGTCGGGCTGGGACTCACTTTTGGCGTGTGTGTGAGTCAGACAAGACAAATTGACAACCTCAAGGTAGCGAGCGGCAGCAACAAGAATGTAACCCGCCTATTATTCCACACCCCACCCTAATCACCCGAGTCACAGCAATAACAGCATAATAAGAGTGAGATGCTGTACAGTAACAAAAAGACTAAAGCAACACCTTGGGGGTCTGACCTGCTGTTAAACCATAAACCACTCCCCATACACAGACAGTTAATAAAGGTGTGAACTCTCTTCCTTACCTCCTATCCCATCCCACCTATCTAAATAACCAACACTAATATATCATCTCTGTACAGTATCTACCACCCATCTCCTCAATAATGCTTAAACATACGACTGGAACCTCTCGTGACAATTACACCCCCCCCCCCCTCTCTTGATGTCGGTTATTGCTGCAGCTGTTGTTCTTACTGTTGTTCATTTTACTGTTATTGATGTTGGTTTAACTGTTAGTATTACTGTTGTTATAATGAATATCTAAGGGTTGTAATTAAGAGCCAAGGGTTGTAATGGGTGTCCACACTTGTACAGATGTTACCAGATAAACTTCATGGTTATGGCAATACTCATGACACTATTGCCATAACACAACTAGACCCCCGGATGTTAAGAGAAAATGCCATAGAATCTATTTTTTTGCAATTTCGGCTTTTTGTTTTACCCATTTGATTATTTTGTGTGATTTCTCTTGTTTATCTTAATTATATGGTTTTGTTTTGGACAATTTCGTCTGTCTTTCCCAATTGCTTATTTTTTGCAATTTTGTCTGTTTATCTTAGTTATTTGCTTTTTTGTATTTTTGACTGTTTGCCTTGCCAATTTGCTTCCCTTTTTATAATAATCTAAGTGCCTATTACATCCAGGTTCTAAAATATAACTGTACTTTATGTGTAAATCTGCACTTGAACTGCTGAGTAACTTTGGTGATCTACACGGCGTGTATGTAGCACAATGTGGGCCACCCAAGTGACACTGGCCACCTGAGTGACACTGTGGCCGCCCTGGTAGCACTTGGGCCGCCCAAGTGACACTGGGGCCGCCCTGGTGACACTGGCCTGTTAGTTATTGAAGGCAGTGTGACGGTCGTGTGAGAACCTATAATTGTGACTGTGGCCAGCCTAGCGTGATGGTGGTGTGTGGTGGTGGTTGTTGTAGTGGTGGATGGTGGTTGGTTGGTTGTTAAGGTATGGTGGTAGTTGGTTGTTAAGGTATGGTGGGTCAGCATTGTACCGTGATCTTAACCTCTTGAGTATAATGACATCCAGTAGTCCCTTAAATCATCTTACTCAAGGGGTTATATCATCGTACTCGAGGGGTTTTCATTGTACTCAAGGGGTTGTCATTGTACTGAGGGGGTTAAACCATCTTACTGAAGGGGTTAAATCATCGTACTCAAGGGGTTAAGTTAGTGTTTTTATTTTGAAACTGACATTTGAACAGACTAATAACATTATCAACAATACCCCAAGAGAGTAAAGTATACAGTACTGTTATCCGTGATGCCTTAAAGTGCATCTAGGTGAAAATGTATCAGTTACCAGTATGGAATTCTTATTACTCTACAAATGTAAATTTTGTTTTTTTTACTTACATATTCAAGAAGTTTATGTTAGACGTGTGTGACCATTGTTGACACAGTAAAGTGTGAAGACCTGATGCACCAGAGTGGCTGCAGTCGAGACATACAGTACAGTACTCACACACCCCGGGTACTGAGGTGACTGAGTGAGTGTATGTTGTTATGTGGAGCACCAGGAGTGTGTGAGGGCCTCACAACACCACTCCTCCAAACCTTCACACTGCCCACAGTTCCTCCACTAAATGTAGTGTTGCAGTATAATGTGCCGGCCGCCCCGATGAACGAGGGCCGTACCTGCCCTAGAGAGTGGTGATGGATGCGCTCACTCTCGCGGGTGTGATGGTGGCGGCGCCATGACGCTCCCACACAGCCCACGCCTACACCGTGCCCACCACCAGCAGTGTAGCCCAGGCAGGCGGGTCCTGCCTGACATCATCACTGTGGTGCGTGCAGGCCAGCAGGCTACCACCTCCCACCTTACCCACTCACCTGTGCAAAGTCCTGACCCCCCGCCTGCCCACCCCACCCACGCCCACCATGCCCAAAACCCACATCACCATGCCCAGGCCCACACATTTAGCACTCCATGGGCAGGCAGTGAGACTTCCCAGAGTAGTGGAGGTGTGAGGGACAGGGCAAGCCAGACTAGATCAGGCCTGGGCAGGGCAGGCCAGGGTGGGGCAGGTCAGGGTGGGGCAAGCCAGGGCAGGGCAGGTCGTGGTGAGGCAAACCAGGGGTGGGGCGGGGACGGCATGGCTGAGGGCGGTGGGGAGGAACACCGCTTCTGCTGCACTGTGGCCAGGATGAGGCTGGTCATACACCTCCAGACACTCCTGCGAGGTACTGCTCACTCGCCCACTCTTCCCTCCTCATACATGTGCAAAATATATTCAAGTTGATGAGTTCCCATTGACTGTATTATTCTTAAGTTAGGAGTCTAAAAATACAATTAATATCAGTACAGTAATATGAAGCAGCTGTGACTGAATGAGGAATATTTTGTAGTCAATATATATAGAACCTAATCACCCATAATCTTGCTGGTACTGTAAATTATTTTTAATGTTTTTCTTTAAAGTTTTTATATGAGGCTGTAGGTTTACTAATTATTTCCCGCCATAGACCCAGGGACAGTACAGTATAAATCTGGGTAACCAATGACTACTGTACTTCTGTGGCTCCTGTTGAAATGTATTGTAATATTTGGGGCATAGAGCATTACAAGTGTAGGTACTGTATATCTATTTCATGGGGAGACTTTTTATTATACCTGGTAATAGATATTCATAAATGTCATGACCCCTGTGTGGGTAATCATCGTAGGTTTTCAAGGGTTTTATTTAAGATGATTATTATGAGCTTATGGCATGAACCCCAGGATGATACACTCCTTGGGGATATATTTCTGAGAAGTTTGAAATAAGGGGATGAATGTGGTTTAAGGGGGTGTTAGAATGATAGAGAGTGAATGAATGACAAGAGAGAGAGAGAGAGCCTACAGCTGTTGTTGATTCTGTCCAACCTACTGTACAGTATAGTAAGTGAGGTCTGGCCAGAGTAAGAGAATATACCTGTCCTGTATTTACCTGGCGAGTATTGTAGATTGTGTTTCATTTGTTGTTTTTTTCACCACAGACAATACTTAATTAAAGTTTTTTCTCACTTACAGAACAGTTCGAGGCTCTTCAGGACGAGCTGGAGCGGCGGCGAGAAGAATGCATCCAGCTGCGTACCGTGCTGGCTAACCGGGCCCATGACCTGCGCTCCCTCACACAGACGTCGTACGGCAAGGACGTCGATATTGTTAACGAGGACGGTGAACTAGCTTTAGCATACCAGACACAGAAGCAGGTCAACAGGTTAGTCAGCTGGGGTTTTCCTTAGTGTGTGTGTGATGGATGAGGACTCGGGTAACTTGTAACAGAGAGCCTTAGATTGAAACACTTTCGTATACTGTATAGTTTTAGAGACTTAATCTTTGAAGCCTCTGTAATAATATTGAAGGGTATTTGCCACATGAAGACATCACATAGGAAATATTCACCATAGGGATGCACATAATTGGCAAAATATCATATACCATTAATTGGGAATTTTGAGAAGAAAGGCAATTTAGATTCTGTAATGTACTTGCATAGTTTTCTGCTAGCCATTACCCACATTGGACCAGGATGACACTCAAAACTTCTTTCTTCGGTAAAAATTTGGTCATTGTGCTTACTCAAAAAAGTTATTGTCTTGAGGACCTGATGGAAAGTTTAGAGAGCATTTGCTTAAGAATTTTGCACGTTTGTATGGCTTTCTTCAAGTTGCTTTCTTATGCTCTTGAGAAATAAGTATTGTACTGTATATATGTGAAAGAGGGATCTCCCAGCAGGTAAGTACAGTTAAGCAGGGTGTTAGTTAAGAGAGAGTAGGATATAAAGAAACAGTAGATAATGATACAAGGTTAGTGTTGTCCTCCAGGTGGTGTGGGGGAGAGTGTATCCTTCAACTGCGGCATGAGTGTGGCTGGAGAGATATGACGATTATGTACCCAGATAGTTCATACCACAACCAGAAGCTTCTTGCTCTTGACAGTTCTACACCTTCCTGTGGTAGTATTTCTATGGAGGACTTTTGTCAACCATGTTAGTCTCTAGATATAAATTATACAATAGGTGTATTAACAAATTCGGTGTATTGCTACGTTAAATTAAAATAATCCATAATATTGGTACATTGAATCAAGTGTTAGTAATGGATGGGTGTGATGCGACCAGCTTATACCCATTTGATACTTAAGACTTGATCAGCTTTGTAGACTAATGGTAACGAGCCCCTTGCACACGAACTGCCAATGAGACTAACCTCTTCGCTCAACCATTCACATTCTGTTTTGGGTCTCAGTGTGTGTGTGATATATGGAACTTTTATGGTGTTCATCTGATAATAGACGTTCATGCTTTAAGATAAATCATTTTTATAAAGCAAATTAGATTTCAGAAGTCTTTTAATTATAGAAATTTAGCTAATGGGAAGTCTTAGTTTGCTGTAAGGACGTCACATATGCGGGCTAATACAATACATCCTGCCGTTGCTACTAATGTAAGATATTTATATTCCTTACTAGTTAATATCTTCTTCCTAACTTCACCTTAATAGTAAAATTAATACAGGGACCAATGGTATATGGTATTAGATCTCTTTAGACCTATATACATTACTAATTCTGAAACTACAGTTTAATATTGTTACAGTCAATATGTCAAATAAGGTAGAGTACTGTAATCTGTAAAATACACGTGGCAATGTTCCGTTTATATTGTTTATACTGTGTACAGGTTAGGCTATTTTGTTGAGAACTTGTGGTGGTATTGAAAACTCCCAGAAATTTTACAGAGTTGTCGCATAACAGATATAGAAGACAGCTAAGAATAATGTATAAGCTACTGAATCACTGTCGTCCTGTGCAAGGGGTTACTTATAATAATCAGAGAAATTTTATGATGAGTATTTATTCACAAGCTATGTTATTATAACCTGCCATGAAGTCCTGCACAAGATTACTAACTCAGCATTACTAAACACATCGCAGACCTTTAGCTGTGTTTGATATATGCCATTAACATACAACCCACCTGTGCCCCCCCCAAACACTGCTTCTGGATGTGTGCCCCCAACACTCTGCAGACGGTAAGAAACGATGAACTGATGTAGCACTCGCGCGCCTTTAAGACTGACATACTATATATAATAAAACCTAGCAGTGTTTATGTTAGCAGTGTTTGATATTACAAGCAGATTGCATGAAAAACTAAATTCGCTATGACCGGATTTGTATACCGCAGTATTTGTCTTGAACGAGTGTAGATTTTGACTAGGGGAAATGTTTTGTGTGTGTGAGATAGCATGTTCTCCTTCATCTGGCTGAGGCAGTATCAGAGAGAAAGTGTGTGTGTGTGTGTGTGTGTCTGACTGTCTGTAAAAGGTTATACTTCATCTGCTTTTTAGTTACTGTACTCTTTGATGTAGTTATAGAGATCTCTACACTTCAAGGCTTGTAGAATCTGGTTATTGCTTTATAAAATTCAGAAATACATGTTCAGTGTTGTACCAACTTGTACAGTACAGTACTTACTGTGTCTTCACATTATGTGTCTGTTCCATGTTGTTTGTAGCTAATGTTTATAATCTGGTTTAGGTACAAGGAGACTTGTGTTTGTACCTATCAAGTCTTAAGTTGTAACCCAGTGTCGCCCTCAACAGTAGTGACTGGCAAAACATTAACAACACCACTCTCACATTGCTATCCTAGCTCTCAGAGAAGGGCAGTGTTTACCTCTTAAAGCTGCGAGTTAAGTGAGTCATGCTACTACAGCAGCTTGTGGACACATTTATTTTCCTACAGGAGCCTCTGATCCCATGCTTCCTGGGAGTAATGCTCCTCGGGGCATTTCTAATTACGTAAAAGGAGAGTACTGTACAGAGACATTATATGGTGTTGAGGAGAGTGTAAGGTGTTAATTCCTTATTGTAGCTTTTAATTACTTCCTCTTATAAAATGGAGTTGTTCAGTAGCATTGGAGATTTACTTTACCACATCCTCCCTTTATCTTGTTGACGTTAGAAGCACAAGTTTCCCTCTACTGGGTTCTGTCGTCAACAAGGTAAGGCCTCTGTGTACAAATTGCAGAAACACCAAAGATTACTTATTTAGCTCTCAGCCTTATGATATTGAATTCAGTTTACCAGACCTTTCTTTGAAGGTTAAGGTTGTAACAGGAGAATTACACGATCCACTAAAGCAACCTCAGCTGTCGGCGTTGAGGGTTAGCCTGAGTTACAATCTGTAGACTAGATGGGTAAAGACATGTATCCCCTTGTCTTAACTCTGCTATAAAATGGGATATCCAGAAACACTCCTTGACCTATACTGTATATACCGAGTGTGGTAGGGTTTATGGATGCAGTGGAACGTGAGTATAAACCATTCACTTATAAATTATCTGTTGAATTTCTGGGCTCAAACCAATCATATGTGCTTAGTAAAAGAATACAGAGAATACAGTATTTATAGCTAGGATAATATTGTGTCAGATGAGAGTCAGACGTTGCTTGAAGCTTGATGTAGTTTTTATCTCTTATAAATTTAATACTGCATGAATTAAGACAATGAATAGGATGGTTTGATCACTCAGTTTGAATAGCAAGTTACAGTCATTTTCTGAACTTTTTTTTTATTGATAATAATTAATTGCTGTACTAGTTGATATATTCTTAAACTGTTATTTAAGTGTTTGGTCATCATTTCATGGACATATTAGATTACTTTTGTTTGAGGTGTTATGTACAAATTGTGTTTTAGTTTATTATGTTACTTATAGAAATTATCTCAATGTTGTAGTGTTGCTGCATCATGTAAGGTTAATTTGGAGGTTAAGACAGGACAGTATTATCTTTTAAGTGACAAGGTCTTCTGTTGGAAACTTTTTCATTTCACATCATTGATTATGTTTGAGTTACTCCTTTATACAGCGGCCACTTATCTCTTAAGTCTCATTGTGTTATTTTCCTTCAAGCATTAGTGTTTATTAGCTTTCTTTCTTTATATAGTTCTGATTAACTTTGTAATTAGGTAAGTATTAGTTGCTTGCACTATGTGAAGAAGAAATTCATTTTGTTCGGAGACTTTTATGTTTGTCATTCTAAGGATCTGTCTCTGTAGTACTAAGGTGTTTATCCTAATCCTCCCTCAGACAATTAGAGGAGGAACTCAAAACGGAGAAATTACGGTATCGTGAATCAGCGTCAGAGTACAAGGGCGAGTTGGAGCGCCTCCGCCGGGACAACGAACGCCAGCAGAAACTGTTGGCGCAGAACCTGACTAAGGGTGACGGCTCTAACCCTGAGACTCTCCTTCAGTCAGAGATCATGCGACTTACCTCAGAGAACCTTGTAAGTGTTGCTGTGGCCAGGTTTCGCTTATATGTACGGTAGTTAAGAAGCACATATATACTAGTTGTGTCTAGTTGAGTTATCTGCATGTTTAGTAAGTGTGTAATATTTATGGCCGTGCGTTATTTGTCACATGACCTTAATACAGACATCAGCATCATCTGCTCATAGTCGTAAACAGAACCTTTGCACCAATTTCATATGAATCTCACCACCCAAATTTAACATTGTTTTGGCTGTTGATGTTAACACTAAACCGTTCATACAAGTTAATTGGCCACATATATCAATCAGTGGAAGTTTATAAATTGTGCTCATGAATTCATGATGACGCAGGAGGACATAACACATTTAATAGTCCAGGAAAACTGTGGTGGGAGAGGATACTGTGAGGAAGATATGAATGGCTCTCTCTACTTTGACCAGTTTTAGGAGGATGACCATTTTATAGATTGGAGTTTAAACTTACAAAATTTGATATGTAGGTTTTTGGAAATGTGGAATTGAAACCTCCCCTTCTCCCTGGCTCATGTTGTTCTGGGAGTTTTAAGTAAAGTTTCATAATATGGTTGTATGTATGTCTTTCCTGGTACTGTATGTCAAATGTGTGAACTGTAGGTGTTTCTTAGAGTATTTTTCTGATGGAGCTGAATGCATGAAAAGGGTAAGTTTTAATAAGGAATAGGAGACCTATATCTGAGCCATGTATTCTGCAATAATGTCTTGAGTAACATAACCAGCCACTTGGATACTGTTGACACTTGATACAGATCATATATTGTGTTAGGATTTTAAAAAGTAGCTACAGATTTACTTATTCCTTTATTTTGAAGTTATATCATTAATATCAGACCTAAAAGCTTTGGATGTCATTTAGAAAAACACTTTTTCTTTGGAGTTGACCTTTAAATGCCATTAGATAAACAGGAACAGTATTAACTTAATTACACTCACTGATAGTTATCATTAATGATGCTTATTGATATTTTTATGAGGCTCAGTGGTTGACTGGTTACAGCACTCACCTCTTGATCCAACAATTGCCGGTTGAAATCCCACTCCTGGCTGCTGAGTGATGCACACACCAACAGTCAACACAGTTTCAGCCTGGGTGTTAGAGTACTGTACTGGCCACACTGTTTCCTTTTGTATCTAAAGCCTAGTCTTGTGTGTGCTGTATCCACATTACCCATAACTGGCCATTAGGCTTATGGCCCCAACTTTCAGATTTTTCATTGATAGATAAACTTTTGGGAAAACTACTTGAGAAATTTGATATACTGTACATAATACACTGTAGGATAGGGTTTGGTTTTGGCAAAGTAGGTCTAATAGTTGTTCAGTCAAGGTATGATGTCCACCTGTGATAAAAAATCTTGAAGTGAGATATATTTTCTTATTATTGCTCGAGTTGTTCCTTGTATAGGACTCACCAACACCCCCCTTTCATGATTGCAAACTGATGATGATATTGATGGTGGTGATGATGATGATGATGATGATGATGATGATATAAATAAATTAAAACCTTCCTTCACCATTGAGTGTCCTGTACTGTATATACTTTTATCATTGTATATATCGGTGTTGGTCCCTTAACACTCGCTCTACTCCCTTGCCCCCAGACGTCAGATAGTCTTATGCCACTGCAGCCGCCACAGGTGATGACTACTAATATGTACCCCAAACCTCTGCTTGCTGCTCTCCCACTTTTAGTTTTTTGAAGCCAATCAACATTTTCCATTAATCTGCATTGCTATTGCAGATTCTGCCTCTCCCTAAATTTATCTGGGTTCCAGGACGCCCTTGTTTAGTTGTCCACTGTCCCATACCATCACCTGAAGGAGAAAATGACTTCATGCCTCTTGAATGAATTGTACCTCTTAATCCTGTGTCTGATCTTGGACTGTTTATAATCTGGGGAATAAATAGTATATGGCCAGATCATATAGAACAAGATGATGTAAATGAAACAACTATAGAACTTAGTGTGGCCTGTATTCATTTACATAATATTGATGCTGTCTGCTGAAACTGCACTCCTTGCACAGTTGCTAACGGTCTTTGGTACTGAGCGTAAGAAAGAAAGTGGTTGATGAAGTCCTTATGAATTATGTCTGTGCCTGTCTCATCCTCTGCTTGGATCAGCACGTATGCCTCAACTCTCTCTCTCCTTAAAGTATTGTTTGGCTTTTAGCGAAGAAACAACCATTTCTGAATAAGTTGCTCTGTTCTTGTGTTATAAACGTTGGCTGTTATCTGAGACCTGTTCCACCTTTCCTGTTGGTCATAGGTTTTTTTTTATGATCTTGCATGGAAGTAAAGCCAGATTTTTTATTATAATTACCCTGTACTGTGATCTTATTTTTTCTTGAAGAATTTTTAAAATCTTTGTTGTTGTTGTAAAAATTGAACATTATCATTTAAATGCATGTTACATCACAGGTTCATATCATCATTTGCATACTGTATTATCTGAAAAATTCGTGTAATAAATGTGTATTTTTCAAAGTGGTACATCGTCTGAGAAAATTTTGTAATCCAATCAATACTGTATTGTGTAGATCATATGTACTGTAAACCGTAGGAACAATTAAGTTTGGAATGGGATGAACTATGATAGCCATTCAACTCTTCCTAGTATCTCCTGTGTATTGAGGTGGCTGTGGGTTTATCTGACAGTAAGAACGGAAGCTGTAGTTCAGAGGAAAGGCTCAGTAATTGATACAGTACAGTATTTCTCTGGTTCAGATTAACCTTTAAATTAGCCAGATCCTAACATCAAGGGTCACTTACCACCTACAGAACTAATCAAGGGTCACTTACCACCTACAGAACTAATCAAAGGTCACGTACCACCTACAGAACTAATCTAGGGTCACTTACCACCTACAGAACTAATCAAGGGTCACTTACCACCTACAGAACTAATCAAGGGTCACTTACCACCGACAGAACTAATCAAGGGTCACTTACCACCTACAGAACTAATCTAGGGTCACTTACCACCTACAGAACTAATCAAGGGTCACTACCACCTACAGAACTAATCTAGGTCACTTACCACCACAGAACTAATCAAGGGTCACTTACCACCTACAGAACTAATCAAGGTCACTTACCACCTACAGAACTAATCAAGGGTCACTTACCTACAGAACTAATCAGAACTAATCTAGGGTCACTTACCACCGACAGAACTAATCAAGGGTCACTTACCACCTACAGAACTAATCAAGGGTCACTTACCACCTACAGAACTAATCAAGGGTCACTTACCACCTACAGAACTAATCAAGGGTCACTTACCACCTACAGAACTAATCTAGGGTCACTTACCACCGACAGAACTAATCAAGGGTCGTTTACCACCTACAGAACTAATCAAAGGTCACTTACCACCTACAGAACTAATCAAGGGTCACTTACCACCTACAGAACTAATCAAAGGTCACGTACCACCTACAGAACTAATCTAGGGTCACTTACCACCTACAGAACTAATCAAGGGTCACTTACCACCTACAGAACTAATCAAGGGTCACTTACCACCGACAGAACTAATCAAGGGTCACTTACCACCTACAGAACTAATCTAGGGTCACTTACCACCGACAGAACTAATCAAGGGTCACTTACCACCTACAGAACTAATCTAGGGTCACTTACCACCTACAGAACTAATCTAGGGTCACTTACCACCGACAGAACTAATCAAGGTCACGTACCACCTAGAACTAACTTACCACCTACAGGGTCACTTACCACCTACAGAACTAATCAAGGGTCACTTGAACTAATCAAGGGTCACTTACCACCTACAGAACTAATCTAGGGTCACTTACCGACAGAACTAATCAAGGGTCACTTACCACCTACAGAACTAATCTAGGGTCACTTACCACCTACAGAACTAATCCTTACAGAACTAATCTAGGGTTACTTAGAATCAAGGGACAGAACTAATCTGGGGTCACTTACCACCGACAGAACTAATCAAGGGGTCACCTACCGACAGAACTAATCAAGGGTCACTTACCACCTACAGAACTAATCTAGGGTCACTTACCACCTACAGAACTAATCAAGGGTCACTTACCACCTACAGAACTAATCAGGGTCACTTACCACCAGAACTAATCTAGGGTCACTTACCACCGACAGAACTAATCAAGGGTCACTTACCACCTACAGAACTAATCAAGGGTCACTTACCACCTACAGAACTAATCAAGGGTCACTTACCACCTACAGAACTAATCAAGGGTCACTTACCACCTACAGAACTAATCTAGGGTCACATACCACCTACAGAACTAATCTAGGGTCACTTACCACCTACAGAACTAATCAAGGGTCACTTACCACCTACAGAACTAATCAAGGGTCACTTACCACCTACAGAACTAATCAAAGGTCACTTACCACCTACAGAACTAATCTGGGGTCACTTACCACCTACAGAACTAATCAAAGGTCACGTACCACCTACAGAACTAATCTAGGGTCACTTACCACCTACAGAACTAATCTAGGGTCACTTACCACCTACAGAACTTCAGTGACGTGATGTGGTATTCAGTATTGTCAAATCACTTAATCAAAAAAATTCTTGAACTAATAATTTTAGTTCATGATAAGTTGGGTAGCAAACAGACATATGGAGTAGCTGTGATCACACTCTTGGTGGATGATAACTAGCAGCTACAACTTCCTTATTTACCATCATGACCTTCAACAACATGGATCATAACCTCAGGAATGTACAGTACAACACTGCTCTTAATAATGCACAATAATCTGCTTCTATTTTGATGCACAACGATAAAGATTTAATACCTAAAATGATTCATATATGGGAACTTTTAACCCCCCTGCTCTACCATTCAAAACATTTCATAAGGACTCACAAAATGCTAAAACCGTAAAATAATAATGCAATAGAAATGTCACTGGGAAAATAGGCAGTAATGAAGAATATATATGTGTGTGTGTTCAGAGGAGATAATACTGGTAAGGTTGTGGTGTGAGGGTACAGTGTTGTGTCATATTTATGGTAATGAAGGATTGTATCTCCCACACCCAACAGAACCTCCAAGGCCAGGTGGACAGTCTAACAGAGCAGCTCAAGAAGTACAAGCGATCACTTAGAGCGTACGCCAAGAAGCTCAAGGAGGCTGGTGGTGAGTACAGTACTGCAGTTTGGTTCTATGCATTAACTTTTGACCGACTTCGGATTCTGACTCGAGTGGTTTGGGTCATTTTTCGCCGAGTCTTTTCATACACCCACATTGGTCGCGTTATGGTGTGGTAATGTCGTCTGTTGTCTGTCGTTCAGTTTGGTTTTCATTCACAAACTGTTCCTGATCAGATTAGAAAAAAAAAATCTTCATAATATGACAACTACTGGCCCAGAGTGTAGCAAGGCCAGCTGTCAAGATTTTACACCGGGAGTTTGTTGTAATGTTAACAGTTATGTCCAGTTAACAGTGATGAGGATGATGGGATCTTAGCTGATAATTGTGATCCTTTGAATGTTATAAATTCCCTACTGGTTTATATCCATACCCAGACCATATTGTGTACCTGATACTGAGTTAGAGAAACCAAAGAAAACTTGAAAATCTATCAACTTGAAACTGACAACTGAGATTGGAAATTAAATCATCAAGCAGAACAAGCAGGAGCAAATGATCATCAGGTTTGACATTTTAAGGATCATATTTCTCTTATATCTCTGTACAGGATCTCGTCTTTGTAGTTGTATAATGAACAAAGGAAGAAGGAAAATATTATTGTCAAGAGAGAGAGAGAGAGAGAGAGTTATCTTATCACGTGATGAGAGTGAGGAAGTAAAGGGATACTACCTTGTTATTAGATACTCGGAACATCTGCCATAATGTGCTGTGTGATGTTGGGGAGGTGTTCTTGTGTCTCTTGTCTACAGTGTTGGTACTGCTTACACGTTGACTTGAACTTGTATATGTTGTGGGCCTGTAATGAGAGTCTTAGTTTAATGTTGTGAGTGTAGGGGTGACTGGAGTGTATGAGAGTAGGTTTGTGTGTGTGAGAGTAGGAGTGAGTAAGTGTAGGCATGTGTGAGTGTAAAGAGAATGAATAAAAGTAATCTCAAGGCGAATCAATATATGAGCTTGACAGAATGTGCGTTGCATACTTGTCAACGGAGCGTGAGTGACATAGCCTAGAGGTCCTCAAATCCCTTGATAAGAGAGTCATTAGTGTGAGGGTGTTATGTAATCAAGGGGAGGGTAGGTAGGTGGGTGGGTGGGTAGGTATCATAAACGGCCCCTCACCTTCCATAGTTCAGTCCTGGTTATGACATCGTGCATGCCACAGTAATCCCGTTAACTGTCACATTATCCGAGCCTTCGTGCCACGGATCTACCTCACACTCCGGATTGTTAAAGTCAATCCCGAAGGTCGAATATGTAAGACAATCGACCTTGCACTGTGATTGATGCTTGTTTGGCGTAACATTCAAGCCTTTAATGTAATAGTCAAGAGGGTGGAAGATGTGTTGTTTTGACGCTGTTGTAGATGGGAAGACACACCAGGTACACCATGACTGAGTGTATTGCTGTGGCTGTAGAGAACTAGACACACTGTATGTACTTGTTTGTGTTGTGGACTGAGCCAGCAAAAGATGATATATTACTCACAGCAAGGATTCTAAATTTATCACTGACTCGAAGAAGAAGAAAAAAGAAATAATAATAATAAGAAGAAAGTAGAAAGAAAGACAAAATGAAAATTAGAAAATGAAGAAAGAAAAGAAGAAGAAGAAGAAGTGGTCTCGTGACTGTAGATGCTAAGGATTGTTAAGAATTCATCTGTTGGTTCCTGTGTGTATTTATAACTTGTTGAGTTATGTGATTTTCTATATTTTTTTTATGATAATGCTTTATGTTCAGTGTCAGGAAATCAAATATGTTAAGTGTGCAATTCAATCGTGTATATAGGATAATTTTTTTGGTGGGGGGTTAGGTTAGGTTATGCTGGGTGATGTAACCTAGAGTGGAAGTGTATGGTTAGAGAAGACCTTGACAACCACACTCTTGATGGCTTGGTTAGGTTTGGTTGGATTTCTTGAGGTTAGGTTAGGTAAGATTAACCAACCTAACCAACCTTAGCCAATTCATACCAAACCTGAACTTACCTTACCCTACCTTAATAACCTAACCTAACCAAACTAGGGGTGGCATAGTAATTTAATGGTCAGTTTTCGTGGGTGTTAATTACTTTCAGATACCGTAACAATTTGTTGTGTAAAAACAAGTCCAGGATGTATTTTTAGAAACTTGACGCCATGCATGCTAAACGCACTCTGTGTACCCCTTTCCCGGCCTAACTCGGCGGTCGCTGTTTTGTGTGTGTGTGTGTGTGTGTGTGTGTTCAGCTAGATAAGAGTAGGTAACCATGGCAACAACTTTTGTATACAGTACAGTAGTTTCAAGAACCTTAGCAACCACACCCACCTCCTGCCTTACCTCACTTCACACCCCCTTACACCTGCCTTTACCTCACTTCAAACCTCCTTTACCTCACTTCACACCTCCCTCACTTCATCTTTACCCTTCCGTCACTTTGCCTCACCCCTCCCACCTCACTCTACCGACACATCACAACTCCATTTTCCTGTCAGATTGGTTTTCGATTTTTTTTACTGGAACCTGAAGTGAAAGCCAGTGGTTAGAAGAGGGTGTAGGTGTGTAGGTAGGCACCATCACCACCACCCACACCCACCCACCCCATCCCACTCCTACCACCACCACCCACCATCCCCACACCACCCCACCCACCACTCCCACCACCCACTACCCACCACTCCCACCACCAACCACCACCACCACCACCACTCCCACCACCCACCACCACCACCACCACCACCCCACCACCACCACCACTCCCACCATCCCACCACCACCATCCCACCTCCCACCACCACCCACCACCCACCACTCCACTCCTACCACCACCACCACCTCTCCTCCACCACCCCACCACCACCACCAATCCCACCATCTCACCACCACCACCATCCCCACCACCCACCACCACCCACTCCCCCACCACTCCCACCACCAACTACCCTCACCACCACCACCACCATTCCACTAATCCCCACCACCACCACTCCCACTCCCCACCACCACCACCACCCCACCACTCCACCACCACCACCACCTCCCACCTTCCACTCACCACCACCACCCATCCCACCACCTTACCACCACCACCTCCCACCACCACCACCTTCCCACCACCCCACCACCACCACCACCACCTCCACCACCACCACCACCACTCCACCCCTACCACCACCACCAACCTCCCACCCCACCCACCACCACCCCCACCAACCACCCCACCAATCCCACCACCACCACCACCCACCGCCCCACACCCACTCCCACCACCCCACCACCACACCACCAACTCCACCATCCCACCACCACCACTCCCACCACCCACCAATCCCACCATCCTACCACCACCACCATCCCACCATCCCACCACCACCACTCCCTCTCCCCACCACCCACCCCACTCCCACCACCCCCACCCCCACCACCCATCCTACCACCACCCCACTACCTCCACCATCCCACCATCTCTACCACCACCACCCCACTACTCCTACTACCACCACCACTCCCACTCCCACTACTCCTACCTCCACCACCACTCCCACTACTCCTACCACCACCACCACCACCCCACTCTCCTTACCACCACCACCACTATCCCCACTACTCCTATCACTACCACCACCACTCCCACTTCTCCTACCACCACCACGAGATTACCATGGCAATATGTCAGGATTTGCACGGATCGACAACTGAAAGAAATCATCTGTTTTGGTGCACGGCGGAGAGGAGGGGTGGGGGTGGGTGAGGAGTCTCTTATGCCCAGAGATTCTTACGATATTTTTATTTCGATGTTCAGTGGCACATCAAAGTCTTCACTGTTGGGGAGAAGGTTAGGTTAGGCTTGAGTTGGTTTGGTTTGGGCAGATTAGATTAGGTTAGGATAGATTAGGTTAGGTTAGATTTTGGTTGTGTTAAGTGGGTCAGCTGGGGTTAGGATAGGTTAGATTAGGTTCTTAATTTTTCGTTAAGTTAAGTTTTGCTTAAGTGGATTAATTAAGGTTAGGTTAGACTATATTTTGATTGTGTTAAGTGGTTTAGCTTAGGTTAGGTTAGTTTTTGGTTAGGTTAAAGTTCAGTTCAAATTAACATGATGTGGAATATAAGGAGGACAAGAGTGGATAAGGACCAATCACCTCGCTTCATACACGCGGAGATTCCAAATTACAAGTGACTATAGTAAGGACAGTGTTGAGTGTTTTAAACCTGGAGACACTTTAGTTTTCTCGTAGAGGGGTCGTCGTCCTCCCGTACAGTAAGACCCGAGTAAGGTAACACAACACCTGGTATTATCACCTTACCAAGCTCTTAATTACAGGTGTCGCTCCTCCCTGATGCCACACACGTCTCTCTCTCTCAATGATTACGGCCAAGCATTTTTTGTGGGAACTTTTAGTTAACGAGATTATGACGAACCCTCACCGTCTCCTCCCCCCCACCCGACCCTCCTTTCTAACCCCCTCCACCCCATCAACTCTCCTGGGAGTTCATGTCTGGTCAACAGCACGAACATCTTCACTGCGGAAATGAGACCAGTCTGAGCTTCCCACACACACACACACACACACACAGGAGGACGAGTCGAGAGGAGGCACACAGCTTCAGTCACTCCTACACCGCCGTGAGACACACCACACACACCGCTACTAATCTGCTGACCCTCTCCCGCCCCGCCGTGAGGATCTTGAACACCGTCACCTACCTCGTCCCCAGCTGTCACGTCATCGTCACTCACTCCTATCAGTGGCTGGACAGATCTCAAAGAGTTGATGTCTACGAGTTTTTTGTTACTCTGGATGTATTTTGATCTATATCTCTACATCCGCCAGTGGAAATATTCACTCCTGAACCCTGGATATATTTCGATCTGTCTGTGTCCACCAGTTCGACGACAGAGTGAAAAGAAACATACTGGTCATAGAAACGTTTAGAATAATACAGGAGATCGTGGCCTATAAGTCACACACACACACACACGACTTTATTTGTTGGTGAAAATAATATCTGGGGAT